GATAGATAGATAGATAGATAGATAGATAGATAGATAGATAGATAGATAGATAGAGGCAGGCAGATAATATTATGGAGGTAGATGAGTCACCAACTGCATTTTTTCAATATATAGACAACAAATAAATATTTAATATTTAAAACTCCTACGCATTATTTTTAGAAGGCAAAGAGGTGGGGGTGGGGGTAGAGGTAGCTCCACCATTTTAGTGTTCTGCTATTTCAGCCTGCTTGGCAATTTCATCCCACTGTTTCAGAATACCAGTTCTAGTCCTGTGATACAAGAAATATAGGGCCCAAAAGTTAAAGACCAAATCAAAGCTGCAAACTCAGGAATCTACACTTATTACATAATCCTAATAGATTACTGGACCTTAATATCTAACTCTTGACAGAGTCAGCAGTGAAATTATGGCAAACCAGGAATCAATGTATGGAGACTATGAGTCCAAATCAGCCTGATATAGCCTATAAACACTACAAGGATCCCACACGTTTATATACACTTAGCTAATCTGTAATTGCTCTTGGATGTTGTCAGTTCCAGGAGAAAAACTTTAATGCTGGTACAGCTATGAATGATTTAAGCTTTTCTGGGTCATGGGCTGAGAAAAGATGAAGGCATTCTGGGTCATGGGCTAAGACAAAATGTTGTTGAAAACAACAACAACGAGACCATATTCTTCTACAGTTATGTGTAAATGGGGAAAAGCCAGTGTTCTAATTAGAATCTACTTTAGAAAGGGCAAGTTGAAATGAGTGAAACAAAGCTGAAATTGAACTCCTACATGTAGTTCCCAGATTTTTGCAGTCCTATTTAAGGTGTTGTCCATAATGATCAACCAAATGTCTTCAAAACATTCACAAGCACAAGACTTTCTTATATGGTTGTTCTTTTGCAAGTAGTATTTGGAGGCATAGCCATCTGCGTAAGTTTGGGCCAGTCACTCACTCTCAGTTATAGAAACAAGGCATGGCTTCTCAAAATCTTACCCCACAAGCTGCAGGGACGACTCCACACAGTTGTCAGTAGTTAGCACTGATGCACTCATATCCATCTGAAGCTGATATTTGTGGCATGCCATCTACCAACCCATAGGTAACACTGAACTTTCAAAACTAATAGCCTTTGGTAAATTTGTTTATCCACTCTTATCTTAATCCTAATTCTCCAAATTGTTCCATTGTTACTGATTAAAAGACAAACAATCATCACAACAAAATGGTTTTGCATAGCTGATATAATAACATACTTTCAAGAAGCTGCTGTTTGCTACTAGCAAACAGACTTTGTACTGATCTTCATCATAAGGATGATCAATAGTGGTGTGACCCATTGCTTCTGGAATAGCCAGGACGAAGGAAAGAACCCAAATACAAAAAATTTCAATGGCAGTAATCAAGGGGACACCAATTCCCTGAACACGACTCCAGGAAGCAACTGCTCGATACCTAAAATAAACAGAGAAATTTACATTGTCAGCTTCAGCTCTTTATAAAAGTTAGAATTTTTGAGACAGGTATAATACAACAGACAATTTTAAGATTATTCAAATATGTGCCAGTTTAATGAAAAATTGGTGAAAACACATAGTTGAAAAAGTAGTGAAGAACGAGCAGGATAAAATATTGTGGGATATCTGAATACAAAGTGATAAAATCTTGGTTCACAGCAGACCAGATTTACTGTGGTTGAAAAGTAGAAAATCTAAATAATTGATGTGGCAATACTTAAGAGGAGAGTAGAAAAGAAGACAAAGAATTTGAGAAGTATCAGATTTGAAAATTAAAGTTGACATAAACCCTGCTATCAGTACACTGGGTGCCATACCATAAAACCATGGACAGCAATTAGAAAATATGTGCACTGACAAAATTTCCATCTGTAAATTGTAAACGCCACACTGATTGAATCCACATATATACTATGTTGATACAGTATGATAGCCTAGATTCCTGTAAAGAACTTGATGCATACAAAGGCCAACACCAGTTAAGAAATAGCAGCTGTGATTTTACATTGTAAGGTATATATAATAATAAAAACCTGGAGACAGGAGAATAGAAAGAAAACAACTGGAGAAAATAACAAAATACAAAGACCTGAAAATAGAGATAAAATATCTGTGGCAAAAAAAGACCAATCATAATAAACACCTTGATAAGTTAATAAGAAAGACAAAAAAGTTTAGATATTGGATACTACGATACCTGGATAGAGTATCCAATATCTAAAGAATGGGAAAAATAACACAAAATAGAAAGACTTAAAAATGGAAGTAGAATGACTGTTGCAAAAGAAAGCCAAGGTAGTTCCAAATAGTAATAGGTACCTTGGGCCCAATTTTTGGTTCTGAGACCCTTGGTTCATACTTGAATTATTTACATTTCCACCACCGTTACACTGTGAATCTAACTGTGGATTACCCTCACATAATACACTCCTAAAGTAGTTTCTGATCATCATTTATCACCCCAAAATCCTTTCCAAATATGCACACCATCTCAGACATTCCAGTTATAGATAATCTTTCTCAGCCCTGCCCCTGGAAGAACAAGTATGGCCAGGGCCACAGTTCTCACTTCCTTGGCCTTTGTCTATAAAGGATTTGACTGATTATATCAATGATATCGCTGACATGGACACACCTAAAACTGTAGACTCTGACATTCTTGAATTGTGTTAATGAACAAAATGGCTGCTTTAGATATACAAAGTCTAGGGTATTCATGGGAAAAATGAGCCAGTTGAAGAAATCATCAATTTTTAAAGAGGCGAAAAGCATTTAAAGTAGGTTGGACCTTCAATTTTCTCCAAAAATAGTTACTTGGGACCCTGGGGGCTTTGGGGGCTGCCCTAGACATGATGTGATCAAAATTGTGTCAGAAAATTTCATGGTTCTTTGGTTCACTTTATTAAAAGAATATTTTGGGGTCTTACAATTACTCAATGAAGTATTGTTATACTGAGAAAAATAATATAGTGAAATACAACACAGGTTGAGGGTCTAAATTTGAAAATTAAGCAAGAAGCTATTTCTCTAAATAAAGTTTTAAAACTCCAGGTCATCCTATAACATTCAGTTATGGTGTCTCTCGATAATTTTTCATATATGAAAAATGTTCACAGAAAAGAATTCTCAACCGCTCTTTAGGTCAAATGCTTGGATCAAGGAAAACAAAAACTTTTCAGTGTTTTGGTAAACAAAAAGTTTTTTAATTTCTTCTTCTGCAAGGACACCAAGAAAACAGTCAAGCAATAAAAATAAAGTCAGCTCTAAACTGAGTTCAACGGACCCCTGTATTTGTAGTAATTTCCCCTTATTACTCAGTATTATCTATTATTATTCCTTGTTACCCAATCACGCTCATCATAGTTAATTCCCGTAGCTTAATTACCATTAGCTACATTCACATCAACATTTCCATAACAGAATGACTCCCTCAATATACCCTCCGTGTTTATTATTCAGGATCTTTGCTGGTTAATGGGAATTGCCATCCTTCCGGATCGAGCCATCATCGGAGCATGCTTGTGTTGAGTGGTCGCGACAGGAATATTTCTTACCTGTCTACACTTAGAGCACAGAGATTAAGAACAGTGACTCCCACAGATCCCTTTTGAATAAAAGGAACTAAACGGCAAAGAAATTGTTCAAAAGGTGTCCTCCCATAGGCCATTGGAAACTGAATCTAATAGACAGAAAAAAGAAAAAGAGACAGTTAAAATGTACATATAGAAAACATGAGCACACAATGGAACCAAGGAAGGTTTAAGTTATATACGGTATTCTTTGTACGTAACTATTATGAGTAGTGTGGGTCGAATGATTGGCAGAATAAAATATTTTTACATGTTTTCTAGAAATGTAAAAAAAAACACAATGGATTTTAAGCAATGTAGCATTATTTACCAGTAAACATCCTGACAAGGTTTAGATGACAATTCTGCTCAAAGGGTTATCTATCAACTCTACTCCAAGGTTTCATACATTCATTCCGAGAAGCATATAAGTCTCCTATGCTCTGTTTCCCTGAAGTCTCTTCCCTCTGTATTTACCAATTTAAATAGCTTGTGATGTTGAATAGAAAATACACTTAAATTGTAGTGGACTGCAGGCGGGCAGGCAGGCAGGGAGGGAGGGAGGAGGGAGGGAGGGAGGGATGGAGGAAGGACCTGACTCCTTTCTAAAACTCTCAGGTCAGCTGAAAAGTGTCACCCCAAATATTCAGCACATGATCTTGGATAAGGCACTTAAGCCCTTTCATAAATCATGATGTCAGTATAAATACCAATCAGGGTGTTAAAAATTCCCCCTGGGAAGGAAAAGTGTTATATTGCTTATCAGGAGCATTTTGACGAACCAACTGACAAGAGAAGTAGACTTCTATCATTTCCGCCAATATATTGCACTCATTGAAACCAGGCCTTTCTGGTTCTCTGACATGACTCTTCCAGACTTTTACTTTCTTCAATTTCCTAATAATTATATTCTAAATTCTATTTACTAACTTGATTTACCACATTTGTATCAAAAAGTAGCATTCTAGTTATTGAGGTGTACCATACAGAGAAATCTGTGATGTTAACTCTGGCACAAAAGTGGTAAATCAAATACTCTACTGAAGTATCTTCATCCGTTGCAAGACTCCATAGCAAATTGTGAAGCACATCAGAAACCCCAGGAAAGCCTAAACGCAAGAAATTCTTGGGAAAACAGGTGAAATGTGGTTTAATTTTTGTTTTAAAAATTGCTCACTCCCCCCGCCTTTGTCTCGGTTTCCCAGACCAAGTGGCAGAATCAGATACTAGATAAGCACTATTGCAACAGGAGTTGGATTTACAAGTTCTTCAGAGGGACAATAAGGAAGTTTTAGAGGCTTGCTGGCAGCTGCTTCCACAGATACACATGATACATTCAGCATGTCTTCCACTTTAAATGGCCAGTAATGTGGCAACAGTCAGATCAATAACTGTGAAGAAAGGAAAGTCCAGAACAAGTACATATCTTTCCCAAATATACCTGAATTCACATATATATTGCTTTGTTGTCCCAATTTTCTGTTCAGTGGGCTGATGTCAGTGACTCCATGTATATAATATATTAACTGGAAGATTTTGTTGAACAAGCTTTCAGGACAGAATAGCAACTTACAGTACATCCTTCTCTTTCTTTTCTTCTTACAATACTTTGTTGATGAAATTTGACAAGTTCAATCCAATCTTCTTAACAGACATACCATTAAATATTATGTATTTTTATTAAAGTTTTGAAACTATGTTTCTCAAAATATATTTTCTGAATAATGTCTTGCATAGTACAATTTTGACCCCAAATTTATAAATGGAAAACAGAAACTTTCAAAAAATTTAAGGGTTTGCTTCTGGAATTCAGGAAAACTGACCAGACAACTAAAACTTATTGAGCCCTCCCTCCCTCTAACCTTGGTTTTTTTCATTCTATCAAACAAGACACAAATGCTGAGACATTTCACTTGGATGAATTTTCTAAAAGTAACATTGTTTGCACGTGAGCCTCAGAAAAACTTCATGGTAGAAAACAATAGAAAAATTTTAATTTAAGTGAATGCAAATATTCTTCTACTTACACACATTGCATTGAACTGTAGCAGATTGATCCTATGAACCACCCTAAACCAGCCTAAAGTCTTCACATTAACCCCGTCAAAATATTTTAAATTAACAGAATTAAAAAATCAAGACCAATACATATTTTAAAGACTAAACGAAGATCAAATAAAAAGTCTATAAATGATATAATCACAAATTAACAGAATGATGTGTTACATCATGTGTAGGCCTTCAAGCAAAAGTTGTATAGTTTAGTTCTCAGTTCCTGGGTTGGGTAACAGACAGATGACAGTTACAAGCAACTCTGATTCAATGTCTGAAGGGCAAGTAGGATATGATAAATTGTCTATGAATTTACTGGAACAATTGCCAGATTGAGGGATATTAAAGAAGTATTCTTGGCTTATGAAAAGAAGATTGCATTAATTAATCCACAGTTCTATCTTAAAAAGTATATCTGATTTCTTAGTTGCAATACATAAACTGAACCAGGCAGAGAAACATTATGTAAAGCAACAAAAAATTAAGATAAGGCAAGAGAGATTAGGTTTTACTTTTTGTCTCTAAACAAATCTCTGCAACCAAATAAAACGAAAGAAAAGAGCTACTCTCAAACAATAGAAATTAAAAGAGAGATGCAATAGAATACATATTATCCAAATAATACTTTAGTTCAGCCTTTTTAATGCTAATTGGAAACTAATTAAACCTTCAGCAGTTCAGTGAAGATTTAGGAGACCTTTTCTCTTATAGAACTGAGGAGCAATAGCCTTTCCCTTTTCTCAAAATGACCCATTTTCAAAATATCTCATCTTTCTGCCACAATGATATTTTAGACTATTTTTTCAACATCCATAAAGGCTAAAGCCTGTAAGCCAAAAAATGTGCATCAGCGGACTGCAGTTAAACATTTTCTCCTTTCCATACTGGGGAAAACACAGAGGGGACCATGTTCTATAAAGAAAACAATCTACATTACAACCAAAGCCTCGTGTGAACAAATGAAACTATAGAAAGGTCATAAAACCAGAAGCCAGTCTTGAGTTTTGAAAGAACTGGGGTAATAATCACAAAATTCCTAATGTGTAAGGACCAAGAAATGGCAGGAAGAAATGGAAAAACTGAGATCAAGTTTACCATTTTGTCTAGTAATAAAAAATGACTTAAATTCTTCCCAGCACTTCAAGTCATTTTCAGCTAATTTCAGACTTGGACATGAACATGAACACATCATAAAACAGAACTACAACATGGCAGTTCTGATAAGGTGGAAGTGTTACTTTGAAACAAAGATTACCATGTTCTTTACACAAAATAGACTCATCATACCTAAAATAGTTAACAGTTTAATTGGCCATGCAAATGAAAAAAAGCCATGAAATGAATATTAGAAATTGAATATGGTTATAATTGTTTATTGATTAGATATCCATTGCTCAAAAAGAAGAGTAAATGAACATTACAAAACTTTGTACTGTATGAAAATTAGAACACACTATTTACAGTGTGTTTAAAATAAGAAATCTATTTGGAAGATTTTGAATAGTAAAGTTTAGTATTTTACTATACAGAGTAAGTAATGTATCAATTTTCATACAGTACAGTTTTTGCATAGTTGATCTGTTTTAACAAAATCAATGTTAAAAATCTCATGAATTATACTGTATCACATAAGTATTAAAGATACTTCTATAGTAACAAACTTTTTATAACATGCAAACATGCTACATTCCACATTAAGCCAATGATCGTGTTAATATATCTCTCTTATTTATTAAAAATCATTTGCGAGAACTGTTGATTTGACAAAGTCCATAATAAAAAAGTTGAATCCTTTGCCTCTCCAAGTGATTCTGATTCAATTTAGAATTATATAAATAAAAATGTTCTTCAATATTGATCTCATCTCTAAAATTTGGTCAGAGGCTAAATTTCCTATTTTAGGAAGTTTACTAGTATATGCTATTTTTCCACAGGAAAAAGTATTTCTCTCTTGTATTCCCCTGTCCTGTGATATTGTTTCCAACTACAGATCTGATGTGTGGTTTTAAACATGTCTGCTTTCTAAATAGCAACATTTAATTATCCTATAGTAGATTCCTCTACTGAGTATATTTCTACAGTCATAAATATATTCAAAGTTTTTATTTCATTATAAAACTTTAAAGATACAAACAAAAGAAAGAAATCATAAAGAAATTATGAACTCTTAGTTCATTAAATAACAAACTAAATATAAATCCTTAAAAAAATCCAAAGTTCCAAATAATTGTCCTACCCAAATAGTTTCATATTAGATGTCACTAAGCATTTAGACAGGGATACATTATGACTCTAAATGGCAATAAGTCCAAAGCTAAAACTCAACTATTATTGTTGAGAAATAGATCTTAGTTTAAGGTTCTGCAACTTTGAAGATTCCTTATACCGTAGAACGCCCTTAGAAAGGGCTACACATATGCAGTGTTTTTCCTTTCTTGTTTTTCGAAGCCCCAAAGACCAAGAAACTATCATACCAGTTGCAACTATGCTTTACTGTCCACCCAACTCTTCAATTGCATGGAAAGGAAGGAAGGAAGGGAGGGAGAGAGGGAGGGAGGGAGGAAGGAAGGAAGGAAGGAAGGAA